TTTTTCATTCACTTTATTTATGTATAATTATGTAACAGAAAAAATAGCAAAATTTGTGTAAATCATAATTATTTAGCTTACCTACATAGATTTAATTCAACATTAGAATTAGTGAGAAACCAATTTTATACGAGTATGACAACCCAAAGGGCTAATTTATGATTATTTGGTAGGTATGGTATGTACATACGTATGTATGTATTTAATTAATTTACACTTAATAGGTTATTATTAAAGTAGTAATTAAATTTAACTACGACTTTGTTTTCGTTTTTTTTTACGATTTGTGAAAATGTAAGGCAATAAGGAGGAAATTAATACCAAGTGCCAATTTTTGCTGTTTTTAATTTTCATCTTTTTTTGAAGCACTCAAGCTTGGCACAGATTTTCGAATCGTTACGAAAAAAGAAAACGGACAATGGAAACATGCTAGGCGCTGGCATTTTCAAACGTTCCTCTCTTCAAACATTTTTGAAGAGGAATCCAACTTCCAAAAAAAAGGGGAGGGGCCTTATAAAAACTGTACACTTAAAACCAATTGCTTTTCAAGCTTGGAGCTTTGTGTTATCCGGGCAGGCTCATTCATTTACTCAGAGAATATATAGTTTCTTAGTTTAAATTTGATTAAAGTTTTATTTGCAAATTTCCGGTAAGCAATAAGCGAGTGTACAAAAAATATGTATATACATATATAGCGGTAAGAATGGCCCACTTACATATGCATGAAGGAATACACACAGACGACGCACAGTGGGAAACATCGGAAACATTTCTTCATTTTTCTTTAAAAATCTTTAATTTCATGATCCTGATGTAGTAATTTAATATCGTCACCTAAAATTCAAAATTCACTTTTTGATGGATTTCATCGAATTACACTTCCCACATAATTTTATAAAAAAAATTAAAATATTAGTCACGACTTTTTCAATATCAGTTGAGATGTTGTTATGTTTTTTTGCATTTCAGGTGACGATATGTAATTTAATATTTGTATCAGAAATGCACTCATCAGCCTCACCTCAAGAAAAATGATCTCTATTCAGAAATAAAAAGGCGAAAAATTCAAAGCTGGGATTCATAAGGCTCCCTAATTTTAGAGCTTTTTATCTTTGAATAGAGAGACTCGACCCAGTAAATTGATGATAAAAATAATAAATTATTTCATCAGAATCATAAAATTAAAGATATTTAAAGAAAGATGAAAAAAATTACATTTATACGGTTATTCTAGCGCCGCACAGTGTACAATTTGGGAGTGCCGATGGACAAAATCGTTGATCTCTGGATAGGAATAAGATCAAAATATGGGTTCGAAAGCTGATATAATGGTGTACAAGGAAAAAATGGAGCCATTATATAATCATTATATAAAACCACATAAAAATTTGGCTGAAAAATCAACCTAAAAAAAAAAATCATACTTTGCTCGCTAGATTAAGAAGTTGAAAATTTATAAGCACTTTGCAATTTAAAAAAAAGAGCATTTAAAAATTTTTTAGTCAACTTCTGACCACAAATTTGAATTCTTCGGTTGAAAATTTACGAGAAAAGTGCATACAACCAAAACCCAATTTTTTTTTTGGGCTAGCCAGGCCTGCAAGTATTCATTTTTTTCGAAAGCTCATTTTTCATATAAATTTTTTGGGGGTTGAATATAATGATTATGTAATGGCACTATTTTTCCTGTCGAGATTTACGATTTTGTCCATCGACACTCCCAAATTGTACACTGTGCGCCATGTCTGGAATTTTTTTTCGATATTACCCACTGTGCGAAGCCTCTATGCATTGTTTGTCTCGCCTTTAAGTTGTCGCTTAAAAATTTTTCACTCTCCTTCCGAAATCTTGCCTACGTATTAGATAACTCAAAATTTCCAATTTGTCGGAAATAATAAATATATAATAAGCGCGCGCTAATCGCATGATGAAAAGAGGGTTTCCCGTGTTTTTTTTTTGCAATAAATTACTACAAAGTGTTGACCCCAATATTTCTGTGAGGTGAATACATATTAAATATCAAAAACGTAAAATTTTTATTTACATACCTAATACGATGAAAAATTCCAGAATCAATATCGCGTGGTGTAATCATGGAGGACACTGATAAAGGGTTTGATCGGTGTTAATCGGAATGGGCTATGCCAAATTATGAAATTTTTTTTTACTAGATACTACTTGGCTGCGCTTAACAAAACTTTTAACCCAAGTTTATGTACATAAATACATCAGATTATAACATCCTACCAAAAAAAAGAATAATAACTTTAATTTAAAATTCTGCTAAATTTTATACGAAATGTTAAGGGATTGCACTTAAATGATGTGATAAACTCCAGCATGCCATTTTCCACATTCAATTAAATTACATGCTTTCTTTCTTAAGCGCTTACTACAAACATCGTACATACATACTTGCATACACATTTACTTATAAACCTTATGTACGTATGCATGGCTTCACAATTTTTACCAGGTTTTTATTATGCAAGAGTTTTATGAATTTTAAATACACATTTACTTAAGTAAGTATGTATGTATGTATGCCCCATACAGTCGAAAGCAAGATTCCTTATTTACTTGTATTTCGTATTCTTAATTAGTTGAACCGTTAGTACATAATTGAGTAAAAAAATACATATCAATATCCATATTCATTCCCTTAGCAATACGTTCTATTAATCTTTAACTTCCCAGATTTACATATACATACATATAAACCTGCATCGCATTTTTTTCTTCAGAATAATGTTAAACTTTAGCTTTAATTACTTATTGAATATATATGTATATGTATATACATACATACTTCCATATGCAAGTATTATGCATATAAATAGACGAGATAAAATTTTCTTTGCTATAATATATTATATTCTTTGCGCGATCGAAAAACTTTACTCTCACAGACAAAAGTGCGACAAAGAGTGCAACTGTTTTTGAAAAAAAAAAACAAAAATAAATGCAACAAAATATTTGTATTTCGAATGCAAACAGAAAAATGTAAATCAGCACTGCCCATAGCTTTGCATTTTGATTATCCTTTTGCTCAAATGTCATAATTTTTGATTATTTTTTCTGACTCAAAACTAATTTAATCGGGTTACAAAATTAAAATTAGCGCGCGGTTGAGTGGCTAGAGCAGCGCATTGCCACCCGGTACGTCTAGGGTTCGATCCCTGGGTCGAGGAACATTCAAAAACAAGTTATTTTTTCTAATAGCGGTCGCTCCCCGGCAGACATTTGCAAACCTCCGAATGTACATATTGAAAAAGTCTGCTTTTATTTCACTGTTAAAGCAAACCAAACAACACATTGAAGATCTAGAGCCCTTTACAGCTCAATCTACAATCATACAAAAGTTCTTAGGCTTACTCAACTTTCTGCCCGAGCACTTTTTTGCACAATTTCAGGCAAGCTGCAATGCCATAAGACTAGCTGCATTACAAAAATAGGGATACCCGCACCTTTAAGGTCCCCAGACAACACTACACCTCCTCTCAATCTTGAGAACAAACTCTTCACGCGTATTCCTTTCAGAAACGATTGAGAAGATGAGTCGGTCTTGGGCCCAAAAGATGACTCCACAGCCTTATACACAGATGGATATAAACTAAATCTAAGAGTAGGAAGCGGGATACACTCGAAAGACCTCTCATTGAACATCTGTTATAGGCTGTCAGACCACTGCGGCGCTTTCTCTTGGACTTGTCCGACTCCTTTTTCAACCTGCCTTCAGTAATTATCTTTGCTGATAGCCAAGGAACTATCAGGTCAATGGAATGCATAAGTCAATTAAAAATTGGCTACTGAATTCACTATCCACCCGCGAGATGTGGGTAAGGTCATGGAGACATACATAAATAGAAAGTAATTTGCATGGCAGATGAACTTGCGAGGAAGGACACATTTCTGTCTGATGCGTTCAGAAATGCATCAAGCCAAAGCAACAGTCAACAAATAAAAGAGGCTGATGCTTTGATGCATTTCTGCCATTCCCATTGAAGAAAATTAAATAAAAGCTAAAAAATTAAATATAAAACTCCCAAACAAAGTATTTTGTTTTTACTTTCGTTACACAACTGCCAAATTTCAGCTATTATTCGCTCAACTCAATTCAAACTCTCACTTTCTCGATCACTCATAAGAAGTTTCGACATACAGAGGCGAATAAAATATGGGCCCGAACCGCGGCATTCGTTATCGACCGCAACTCGAATCGAAATTGGCTTCTGAGATCACGGCGTTGGATAGCGAGTGTGCATCGCGCATTCAAATTGTATTGTGGAGAAAACAGCTGCCATTTTATTTGATTCGATTCGAAACGAATAATCACTCGATCACCAATGCCGCGATTCGGGCCCAGCTGTGCTAGCAACACCACCTTAGATGAATTCCGTTGAGCATCAGCAACAGAGTATCAAGAAAGCTACAAAGTTGCAATATTGCGGTAATTATTAATTAACTCGCACATACCCATTTTTTTTTAAGTAAAAAGAGTAAAATTAAAATATGTATTTATAGATGCATTGCCTTCGAAATGAGACACAGTTGAAAGATATCGTAAAGAATTTTTAACGGTCATTCCTGCATACTTAACTCAAAAATTTTTTTTATGGATTACGACGTTCTTACAGCAAGCGAGCATTATGTTGACTAACCGCATATTTGCCTCAATTTCTATGACCGATTAGAGTTCTGGCTGCTTTTCCATATACATTAATTTATTACTCATCAACTACCCTAATAAATTGAAAGAAATTTAAATTATATACTACATAGCTCAATAAACAAAAAAAGTGCTAAAAATTAAAAAGGTTAAAAACTTAAATAAAAGACGTTTTTTGTAGCTTTATCCCTTACTTCAAACACTTACCTATACTTAGACATTTGATGTTTAACCTTTGTTTTTTTTCTAATACTTAAATGTTTAACTGTACATTGTGCCCTTAGCGTTATTAACTTTAATGTTCCCGTACTCGAATCACACTTACGATATTTAGATAGATGCTCGACTTAAATAGTACACACTTCACTTACATACATACCCATGTACACTTTTGCATATGCATACATAATTTGATTTGCCATTTCTTTTTTTATAGTCCAACTATGATGTAGTTTCTGATCATGTTCATACTTAATTATGTTATATTTATAAATTCAAATTTAGTTTTTATGCCCTAGCACTTTGATACGTTTTGCATTTATTTCTGTTTCAAATCAAGCGCATGTTTCATTGCATTCGTTTGTGTGCCAAAACAAAAAAAAAAACTTAAACTGCTTGCATTTGCAAAACTTAACATTTTCCTATTAAATTTAAACTAAATTTGTTATTTATCATCCATCGTTATGCCAATTTCTAATTGTTGACTCAACAAACGATTTCATAACAAATGGCCAACACACTTTTTTGCAAAAAAGAAAAAAGAAATAAAAAATCATTGAAAAGAAACATTTAATTTTCTATTTTAATTTTCTGTATTTTTACTTAGTAAAGGTATACGTAAGTTTATAAAAGAAATGAGTTAAATTAAATTACATAGTACATATTTTTAATTTCTTAGCAGCATAAATCACTCGTTAGGATCACTTAATTTATATTTTTTTAGCTTAGTATTCCAACTTTATCAACTTTCCATTTAATTCATATTACAATTATAACTTGTCGCTTTATTAATATTTAGACATAGATTTTTTCGCTATTAGAAAAAATTAAAATAATTAAATTAAATTACATATAATATCGAACGCAGGTTGCATGCGTTTTTGTATTTTTTTTTTGGGGGGAAATCTATACTAGAATTAATTCTTTTGTTTTTTGTTTTAAATAGCTTTTTCTGTTGACAGCAGATGCGCATTAATAATGCATAAATACATACATACATAAACATATATGTATGTATATTTTGTTCATCGATAAAACTAGGCTTGCACATATCGTAAGCATTCGGCTGTTGTGCCAAACTCAAATACTACAGCCAGACTATGGGCTAATACTTATTGCAAATAATAAATATGTATAGATCTACATATTTATATACATAAATCAAATGCACCTGTAGTACTAAAAAAGAATTGAATAGTTTTAGATAAATATATAGGTTGAAATTGGCGAGAGTTTTATATGTAGTCTTTTTCTCAACTAATAACTACAAAGGGTATCTATCAACAGAACAGTAGAACATTTAAAATATTTGTTAGAATTTATATGTATGTATATAAAAGCGTGTCTTAGTAAAACAGCGTGGCATGGCGCCTTCCTTGTTTTTTTACATCTTTGCTTTGCATTTCCATTACAAATTTCTTTTGCTACACACACACACCCATACTTCGTTCTCGTTTAAAAATGTTTTCCTTTTGCCTTGATTACAATGCATGTAGATTTCAAATATCAAGTATTGTATTAATACATAGTTTCTTTTTTTTATAAATTTCCACGAAATGCTTTGTTGCAAATAATTGTACATGATTGCTGTTTTGTTTATGTTTTTGTTCTTTTTGTTTGCTTGTCGAATTTTAATTCTGTTGCTGTTGCTGCTGTTGATATTCGATAGGACTGGTGATTGCCCTAAGGAAATCGTGTTGTGACTGCAGTATATTGCGTATGATGCGCAACCATTCATTGGTTAAATCCACTGTGGCCGCATAGCAAACTATATTCAAACCGGGTTTATTTGGATCAGTTGATTTGAGCAGAAAACGATTATTTGGTAATTCTTCTAACTGCATTTTGTTGACCTATTGAAAATGAGATAAAAATTAAAAAAAATATAGCGTACTAATTTTTAAATAGGACTGCTCTTAATTGGGATAATGTCCTCTTCTAAAGCTTGAAAGCACTAGAAGTTCTCTAAAAAAAATAAAGTAACGAAAATGTCGCAATAAAAGAGCTAAATTCTTATTTTTATGTTAAAAAATATACCACAAATACATGTCAAAGACGTGAAAAAATATGCTAATTTCTACCTTAACTATCCACAATTATATCTGATGAAAAAGGCCTCGATCAAAAAATTATACTACGCCGCCGAATAAATAAGCGCTCTTAATTCCATCTATACTTCGCATATACTACAATCACTTCCAACAGCGGTAAATACAGGCTGTTTCTCAAGAAAAGTTACAGATTTTCTGCTGGATTACACAAAAAACAGTTACACATTTTCTGCTGGGTTAACGTAAATTTTACCCATACCGAAACAAAGATGTTTAAACAGAAAAAACATTTTGCCCTTCACACAAGTCAGTAATATAATGTCCATTTAGAGGCATATAAACGTTGGGTTTTTTAAATGCGATTTCATAGCCTTGCCCGCCTGTGTATTTCAAGAAAATATCTAGCCTCCACCATCCCTCCGAACCATTCTACAAACTCATATTTCTTATCAACTGACTATCATACAATGGAGCCAAATTTGAACCAAATTTTACCGCAAATATATTTTAATTACAGTTCCATAGCATACATACATACATATGTACTACACATTAAGTGCCCCTGGTTATTTTACAATACGTCCAGCGGCTAGTTTAAACTACTCATAGAAAGTCTAGTGAACTTTTGCAAATTTTAATTTTCTAACTGCAGCGCTTCACCTACCTGTATATGCGACCGATAGGTATATGTTGGACTACTATACTGCAGCTTCTTGCCATCAATATCCGCAAAAATTATACTTTGCTCGAATAGAAAAACATACAATTCACGCGGTTTTTGCATCATATAGGCATTACGTTCAGCATTCTTCTCATCTTCAACGCAGGTCAATTTGTCATGTAGCAGCAGTTTGCCTTGCGCAGTTATTTTACCCTCAAATTTTTGCAAGCGACGTAATTCCATCGCTTCGTTAGCAGCCTTGCAAATCATCTAAAAATGGTACAGATTGTGGATAAAAATTAAATTAATATTACAAAGGACTGCGACTCGGAATCAATTTGTTGAAATAAGCTTCCTTACCCCCATAACGCGCATAGCTTCCTCGATGCCGACAACTTCAGCATCACGTCCAGCTGCACGAGCATGTTTGGCAATTTCTCTGAATAACAATTCATATTTTGGCAATCTTTGCACCGGTTTTATGAGCAAATCGTTGAGCTATAAATATTTAGTAGCAAAAAAGAGATTTGAAACGAGAAAATTTAGTTACGAAAGATTCATTTGGTGTTCACTTGGAAAACTTACATCCAAACGACTACCGAGTTTTTGTCGTATTTGATCAAAATATGCAAGATGAGTGGTCACTATGTGATCCGACACTGGCTTGTTTTGGTAATATTTATTATACATATCAAATTTAGGTAAATAACGTTTGATAATAGGGCCCAGATCGGCGGGCGAGTTACGAC